CCCATTCCTGCTGTATCCCTTTCTTCATTGCTGTAATGGGTTGGCGCTATGGGGAAGCATCTCACCTCCCCCATGTCACAGTGTATTGGTCTGAGCAGCCAATCCCCATGCCTGAACAGTCATGTACATGTAGGGGTTGGGTTGGAGGGGTTGGGGGCACTGACATCATCCACCTGGGTTACCTCTTACAGCAGAGCTTATTCAAGATGGATTCCTAAGTATACCGTGCTGGGTGGGAATTATCAGGAGGCCCTTTAATGGGCAGGAACAACATATCTTTAAGATTATTTTTAGGATAAGCTGTACCAATGGTCTAGTTCATTAAAACTTTGACTCTAAAAGGATCCCAGTACCACAAAGAGCATCCTTTAGATGATTAAGTTTGTCGGTAAATACACCTCTGCTTGTCGTTGCAAGCATTTGTAAATATGGTCAGGTTCACTGATATGTACATGAAAACTACTAGTGATTTTTATATAAAGCGACTTGTATTTTAGGCTTAGTGGTAGATGTAGAAGACGTATAGTCATGAATGTTTCTTTAGGCCTTTTATTTCATAGAAATGATAGTAATTACATTACGTACCATGATAACATCAGCCATTTAGTTTGTACAGTTACTGTAACTGAGCAATATGTATGTCCGGTAGAGCAATACTACATATTGTGCCGAGTTATGAATCATGTAACTGTAAGGATTCAGTCAGCAGAATCTATTCTAAATGACATTACTGCATCATCTTTTACACCCACCGGAGACAATATTGTTGTCTTGGCTCGGTTTTCAGATTGGAACGCACAGTGTCAATCCATTTCTGGTGAGCTATATGGTAGAAGAGCTATTTCATGCGTTTGGTCTTTCTAAGCTTTGCACGTCAAAAACTGGTGACAACAGTTGCTCCTTTTTGCCTATTTTTTAGGTATTTGCACTTATTATTTATTTTTTTGTTTTTCTTGAAGGAAAGATTTTTGCTTGTAATGTAGAGAATGTATTGTATGTAGCATAGAGGTGCGCTTGGCAGTTTATTTACGGACTGGTAAATACAATGCTGTACTGTAGTGTTTTGGGGTTTGATTTTATTTATACATATTAAGTTCCTCTCCACTTACAAGATTTGCTGCTATTCCTAATGGCAGAATCACCTTGCTGCTATTGAGAGATGGAATAAAAGTGCATTGTGTGCACTGTACAAGGATTGTAGCACATTCCCAATACAAGGAGGAGGAATCGGCAAGCACCTTACATGACAAAGATTCATTACTACTTTACCCAAATCACTAACTGGACATACTGTTTAAGAATGTGTCAAAGTAATAGGAAAACACTCCTAGCAACCTCTCTTACTCC